TACATAATAAATAAATCCTTTAAAAAAATTAATTAATTAAAAAAAGAAAGATTTAGCTAGGCATGCCGATACACGCCTTTAATCCTGGCAATAGGAGGCAGCGACAGAGGCAGGCAGATCTCTGTGAGTGTGAGGCCAGCCTGGTCTACAGAGTGAGTTCCAGGATAGCTAAGGCTACACAGAGAGAGACCCTGTCTCAAAAAAAAAAAAAAAAAGTCAAATAAATAAAATTAAAAATAAATATGTGGTGATATTCTGTTTGTGCTCTAACAAACGAAGCTTGCCTAGAGATCGTGGAGCTAGCCACTAGTTAACTAATATCTGGCTCTGGGTTTTTATTATTAAGACCAATTAGAATTTGTGCTATATAAATAAAATAAAAAGGTCTACTTATTTTTACGTATGTGCCTGTGTGTTTATGTGCATCCTGTGAATGTCAGTGCCCATAAAGGCCATAAGAGGGCACTGTATCTCCTTAGAACTAGAGTTATAGGAGGATGTGAGCTGCCCCACGTGGATGCTGGGAACAGAAACCCTGTCCTCTGCAAGAGCAGTCAGTGTTTTTAACACTGAATCATCTCTCTGCCTTTGTGATTCTTCTTAAATGAAATATTTGCTCATGTTTTATTTTTCCCCATTAAAAATAACTTGCCTTTTTCTTATCAACTCATAAAAATCCCTTGCATATTTTAGACAACAAACACTGGCTGAAGCCAAAGCTGGATGGTGAGGCGCACACCTTTAACCCCAGCACTGGGAGGCAGCGGCAGGCAGATCTCAGAGTTCGAGGCCAGCCTGGTCTACAAAGTGAGTTCCAGGACAGCTACCACTATACAGAGAAACCCAGTCTTGAAAAATAAAAAATAAATCCAAAATCATTGGCCATTATCTTAGTTCCTTTTCCTGTTGCTTCAAGAAAACACTAACAGTGCTGGTCCGATGGCTCAGCAGGGAACGGTTCTTGCCGCCAGTCCCAACAACACGAAAGAGAACTGATAACCACATATGCCCCACAGTTCACACATGTGCCTGAATGTGCATACACACAGAAGCAAATAAACAAGTGTAATAAATCTGAAAAATAAGATGAACCCAGATGCCCGGTTATAAAAGCTAGAAAAAGGACTTGGCGCCAGTGTGGCATGCAAATGAAGCATTGTAATTTGCACCAATCACTGCACAGCTCTCAGTTCCACCAATCAGAGGCCTTACATAAAGGCCAAACCCAGGGCTCCTGTTGTACCAGTCACTAGCTCTCTGCAGAGCCCCAGTGCTCCCTCCGGTGTGTGAGTGAAAATGACTGATGGGAGGAGAGCTGGGCCACTGTTTATAGAAGCCGGTCTGCAGTATGTCTTCGGGGCCAACGCAGGGCCTGTGGGGCAGCCATGCCTGGAGCCTGAGTGTGAGCTCGGCTGTAGGGGTCCTCACAGCTGGGGTGAAGGGTTCCCCAGAGTGGAGGGGAAGGTTGAACACATCTGGGCTGGTGGTTCCCCGTCAGAGGCAGGCAGGCAGGGGGAGGGAGCCGGCACCCCCAGCTCAAATGGCTGAGTGGTTTGTTTCAGGCAGTCCGAGTTATTTCAAGGAAGAAAAGGACTTTATACATAAAACTCAACATTCTCCAAAGTGCCCGCCACACTGTCAGATGTCCTCAGGGAGAGCAGGGCCTCACTTACCTGTCTCACATTTTTGTTAGAACTAAGATTTCCTTTATTATTTTCCTGTGCGTGAGCTGTGCGTATGTCTGTGTCTGTGTGCATGTGGGTGCAGGTGCTCTTGGAGGCCCGCGGGTGGCATCAGACCCCTGGGGTGGAGTTGCAGGGGCTTGTGAGCCACCCACACCCAGGTCCGCTGCAGGATCAGTAGGAACTCTTAACCACTGAGACTGCTCCAGCCCTTTTAGAATGTTGGAAATTTAGAAAAATTTCTAAAACTTTTGCTCTGTTGTTACTTGTGGATGGTTCGCTTTGTTGTTGGAGGTGGGGATGTGGTTGGCCTGCTCAGCTGCCTCTCGGATAGCCCTTCCTGTCATTTGTGGATACATTGTTTCCCT